TTATATATCAACAGAAATTTTGTTTTAGTGTTCAAACAACTATTAATTTTTTCAATTGTATGTATTTCAAGTCTACAACATGAGGGAATTTTGATATATTCAACTTGATATATACAGAAGTGATTTCTATAGTCAAATACACACATCATTTTAAATAGCTACATTAATTGGTGAATAACTACATTAATTATGAATTCTAAAACCACATAAAAACTTTCTCAACATTATACATCCTTTGGAGAACAGTTTCCAGTTTAGTATGAGATCAAGAATTATCAGTATTAGGCACAAAATGCTTCATTATTGCCAAATTATTTCTAATAAGAAAACTTCTACATTCTTAATTCATAAATCTCTACAGTGAGTACTGCTGTATATACAGAAAAAAATGAGTAGTATTATCTCTTAAGTGCACAAGAGTAAGTTGTTTCACAAACAGAGCACTTTTTATGTCTAAGTACTGCAAACTTACAAAATGAAAGTACCAACTCACAATCCAACAGTAAAATTAAACTTTAAGTTTCCTTTGTAAATAGATTTAAAGATGAAATGCTAAGAACTTACAGTTGCTTTGTCTAGAACTTTCACTGAATCCTCATCTGCAACCTTGTGTTTCCTAAGGGCTTCTTCCAGGGTCCAGAGCGGCAGGTTCTCCCACTTTCCAAACACCACGAGATCGATGTCACTGGACACAGAAAGCATATGCAACATTTGGAGAAGTCACAAAATGGACCTGTTTGAACTGGTGCAGACGCTTGTGGATTCAGCTTAGCACACTGAGCGCTATTTCCCTTCCCACCCAGCAAGACCAGTAGGCTGCAGGTGACAGCACTCCTGAGGCGAAGTACAGGCTAGAGCATTCAACAGCCTTCTCTCGGTCACTTCACAGAACTTAGGCATAAGGTAATGGGATGATTTTTAAAGAAATAAAACCTCAAAATAACCAACTAATGTTTCTTCTTCTTCTTAGACATTTCTGGTACTAAATGTGACTACACTATCTGGATGAGGCTAATGTAACTTACACATATGACATATGAAGTAGAAAATGTAGGCTGCAGAGCAATGTGCCAGCTGCTACCAGCGTGTAAACACAAACACACCTCCTTTCATACGCACAGGTGTCTACAGAAGCACATGTGCAACCAATAACTGGGGCTGTTCCAAGGAGAACAAAGGGCAAAGCCAGGACTGATGCTTCAGTTGCATTATTCAGCTTGGAGTTGGGTATTTTGTGGCCTTTGAAGGCCGGAGAGCACTGAGAGGAGTGAAACTGCAAGGCTCTGTCCACCTTAACACATTTTGTTAGGAGACAGTGGATCAGATCAGGCGCAAATCAAAAACACAACAGAATGTTTTCCCCTTGTGAAGGCCGTATCGGTTCAATTCTTAGGAGTCATCCTGCAGGGAAACACCACCATGGCCAGAGAGGTTGGCCCAGGCTGTCACCAGGAGAGCCCCTGAAAAGACTAAAATGGACCAAGAGTCCAAAAAGGGTCAAGACCTTCCTCACAAGGAAGTTTTGTAGCCTGTATGTTCAAGTCAGGGGGCTGCTGAAACCACAGTTATAAATTCTGCATTCAAAAAAGAGGCCTCCCACGCAGGAGTATATCTGCTCCCCAAGATAACCTGGCAACTTATCCACAGCGGTGGGTTAAGTGCTGGGGTGAGCAGCACTCTGCATGATAGTAAGTTCTAAAATTTCTAACTGATTACAACTGATTCTACTGCTACATGCTCCCTTTTACTTGTTTCTGGCTGATGTCTGTCTTGATAGGATCATCAGAAATAATAGTCTACTGTAAGGTAATTCAATTAAATACAAGTAAATGAGTTTGTTTCATAAATCTCACTGGTTTCGTTTTTTCCTTTACACATTCAATGACCGTAAGGAAACAACTCTAGAAAATGTTCACTCCCTTGACAGCTACATAAATGTACTTACCTAGTAGGCAAATACAGGCCAGTTTTAAAACTTCCAAATATCTGGACCTGAAAAAGAAAAAAGATACAGCAAGGTGTCAAGCAAGTCCAGGAAGAAATGTAGGGTTTTGCTGCCCTCTACTGATATTCTTTTAGTACTACAAGGGCATTTTTTTCCTAACATATTTTCATAAAGGGGAAATTCTGTCTCTCACTGGTTGACATTCAGAATATAGCACTCATGTATCTAGAAAACTTTAACATTCAAATCTGTTCCTTCATAATGCAGGCATGATCACAAAGCCTCAGTTTTTGTTCTCCAAGCACAGGTGGTCTCACAGGTCACTAACATTAGGGTCAGGCTACTTCAGAGCAAAAGCAGCATGGCCTATGGGCCAGTGCCACAGAGAATAGGTGCTGTCCTTGTAGTCACATGCAGTGTCATAAACTGGGACACATGTGCCTTTGATTCATGGAGCAGGGATGTGAGGCAACAAAGAACAAATGATGAGAAAAGTTCCTGTGAACCTAACCATAGCCTCAAGTTCCTCTCTTGGGAAAAAAATATCTGCCCAGCCCATAAGGCCAAAGATGAGTTTGGATCAGGGACGGGACAGGCTGTCCCTAGCTGTGGAGGCTACATAGCAGCACACTCAGCAGCTGCCCTGGTCTCTGCCCACTAGGTGTCAGCAGTGCCTCCAAAGTCACAAGCGTCAAAAATGTCCATTGTCAGTGCCAGCCCCAACCGCTGCAGTCAACAGAATCTGTTCAGTTGAGAGCTGGTTAGATCACAAGGGAGAAACGATGCAGTGCAGCACATAGCAGACACTCAATAAAATGTCTTCCCTATATCTTTAACATACAGTGTCATACTTGAAACTAGTTTGTTGATTGGCTAAAAACTTTCCTGGCCTCCTTGAACCTGCCTGTCTCCTATGTTGTTCCAGAGTTTACTTTTGTTTTGTTTTGTTTTGCTTTGTTTCCTAAATGCTACTGAACACAAAATAATGGATTCTTAAACAATACATTATTTGTACAAAACTGTAGAACAGACCCTTAAAGGAGCTCTAAAAACTGAAATACTAACTTAGTATCAATAACAAAACCCCTGAATAAGCAAAGAAATCCTGGGCAAAGGTTGTCTGAGGCTGGTCAGTCAGAGGAAAACAAATGTCAAAAGAGAGGTAGAGGAGGTGTGGCGGCACACACTGTAATCCTAGCACTATGGGAGGCTGAGGGAGGAGCGCAGTTAAATTTGAGCCCAGCCTGGGTAACGTAAGTGAGGCCCTGTCTCAAAAAATAAAAAGGGCTGGGCACATAGCTCGGTGAGAAGATTCAATCTCCAGTACCACAAAATAGGGCATAGGGCAGGGAAGACTTACAACTTTCTTAAGAAAATGAAGAAAGAAATTCTGACAAGATATTTTTGTTCAGCTATATACAATTAAGATATTTATATTGGTGGATTAGAATAAAATAGTGACAAGAAGTTGATAACTATATCCAGTTCATAGACAACTACATAAAGTTTGATTTGTTTTTCTTCTCTTTACTCCAATGATTCCTAAATTTAGTTCACCTTTACAGCACCTGCCATTGAGCAATGGGAGGGGAAAAAAAAGTTAAGGCACCTGAGTCAATGAAAATAATTACTAAGCCCCAAATTCTAAAAGCTGCAAAACATTATTTGCACACAGGTCTCTGCATGAGATGTCACCAGCCATGTTCCACCCATATCCCACTGACAGGACCTCATCCAAGCCCAAGCCACAGGGACAGGGACTCACATCAGCACTGGGCCACAGCTCCTTAATCACACTCTCAATCCTGCTCACCACCTCCATCCGCATCTTCTCTTCCTCGGGCCTTGGGGACATATATTCATAAAAATCACTGATTTCTTCATGCAGACTAAAGACAAAAGCAAAAAAATGCACATGAGCAGGACCAATCTAATGAGAAATCACTTTCTTAAGTAATCTTCTCTAATTAAGACTTATAAGCTAATTCAGCTGATGACCTTATATTTATAGATTTTACCTCAATTTTAATGTTGTAACTCATGCCATGCTAAGACGGGAATATACAGGATTAAACAAAAAAGCCACAATAATTAAATAAAATAAGAAATTCCCTGTGTGGAGCACTTGCTAGCTGCTCATAATTTAAAAAAAGAAGGAAACAAAACAAAACGAGAGGCAGGCCCTGGTGTCTGCCTTTACACTTAAAAGAGTGCAGTAGGCACAAAACAAGAAGACACAGAACCCAGGGGACATACGCACACTTCCTGTCAGCGGGCACTGCCCTCCTGCCTCCCTGCAATCCATTCTTCATGGTTCTTTCATAGCATTCGCTTAATGAATTTTCAAGTGAACAAGTTAGCCAGGAAACATGAGTGTCCTGAAAGAATGACTGGCAGACAAAGACTCCAGGAGGAGCTCACAACTCCCAGAGACCATGAAGTCTGAGGCAAGCAGGCTATGGTAGGGGTGATGGAAGTTACATCTAGCGCAGAAGGCAAGCTATGGGCATGGCATGCTCTGATTGGCAAACTAGGAAGCCCAGGGTGACTGGCACTGGATAACAGCTCAGTGGTGAAGTGCTTGCCTAGCATGCATAAGACCCTGGGTTCAATCCGCAGGCCCCATCCCACCCCCCACTCTCACAGACTGAGTTAGTTCAGGCTTTCCCCTGTTATCTGTTTCTGAGGGAGGAAGTTGGGACCGACTGCAGAAACAGTTTATAAGTAAACTGGCAACTGTGCAAATCCATGGATGGATAAAGGTCCTGGATTGGGTGCAGAGAGAACAGGTCATGAATGACTAATTGTAGGACTAGATGGTGGCTGGAGAGGAAGGGGCCCTAGAAACATGCCACATGTAGACACATGGCAGAGCTGAAGAACTGGGGGCCAAGGACAGTAATGGCCAGGAAACAGGACAAATGGGCTGCTAATGAGCTGAATAAAATGAATGCTGTGGGCTGAAGCAGGTGACAACAGCATTCTTTACAAAGCCCCGAGACTGTGGCACTCTTAGGAAAACTTCCCTGAGGCCACCACCCTGAGTACCTGTGAGGCTGGCTGCAGGTGTGTGGTGATGGGGGGCCTGTGAGGACAGCCACAGCACCTTTGGGCTCCAGAGGAGAAAGCTGGAAGCACTGAGAGAACAAAAGTGATTCTGAGAAAGGAAAATAGATCTGCGCCTCAACCTCCACTGGCTAGAACTTGTGCTGCACAGAATGCTGATGCCTTTTAAAATATGACTAAGCCACCAATAGTTCCTATCTGTTTTGATGTTCAGTCTTTAGAATCAAAAAAATTCCAGGGCAATATGTTCCCTTGGCCAAACAGCTGTGGCGCTCAGTACTCTCTGGCCTCTGTGTGCTCAGGACTACACAGGGCTGCAAGCAGAAGCCTGCGTGTTTGCCATGCAACACTGCAAAGCTCTGGACTTTTAACACACCACACAGCTCTGCAGGTGACTGCAGACACAGTCCAGTCTGGTGTTTACTTGGTGTGCTTCTCAACACTTTAGGGTCTTTTAAATTCTAGAGTTTGGGTTTGATTGTTTTGTTTTAAAGGTTCTCAAGTTTTACTGTATGCTCTATGATTATTTCCCTTCTGCTTCTTACAGACAATACTTAAAGAAAGAAAACAACTTCAAGAAGGTGTATAGCACAGGTCTACCAGCAAGAATGGGGACCACAAACAAATAGCAAGCGATATCTATATTCTAACCAATGGGGAAAAAACTCTCTAAAATTTGACTATACCTACTCAACAAAAGGCTCTTCACACATTTTTTTTGGAGGGGTACAAGGAATCAAATTCACAACCTTGCATTTGCCAGGCTGGTGGCCTGTGCCTACTGAGCTATATCTCCAGCTCCTTCACACATTTTCTAATTCACATATGTGCAAAAAAATTTTTTTTTCCTCAACTATAAGTTAACATTTATAAGAAATTGAATGACAATCCATTCTCTAAACACTACAAAGTGCCTACGTTCAGGCCGTAGGAGGAAATGGACCTGTAATGTAGGATCCATGCCCTGCTCCTGTCTACCCAGCAAGGAAAAGCTCATCTAAAGTTGCTGGTGGAAGATGCAATGTGTACATCCTGCACTGTATCATCACAAGCAGGTTTCAGGGGAAAGCAGAGGTTTTCAGCTGCTTAGCACGAAAGGAGCTGCTTGCAGGGTCCAAGGTCCCATCACTGTCAATGTAAACAAGCAAACTAGATGACCACGAGACAAAGGTCCAATGTAAAAGGAGTTTTGAACTTGAAAAAGTTAGAGAACAACCTAAAATTTTCTTTCAATGCTGGAATCCTAGGCTTATTAACATATTAATTTGGAGGGAAATTATTAAAAGTTATAAAATAGACTCTTAAAGCAAAACTACCTAAAACACATAATTTTTTATAGAACCATCATCTTTTATTGGTGTGTGTCTGCCATACCATAAGGGGGAGGGGAACAAGACAAAGGGAAGGGATATTAAAGCAAAAACATATGTGAACAGTAAGAACACGAGGCCCCACTTCGGGTCTGTCATGGTCCTGTACAACAAGCACAAACCTTACTGTCTCCCTGTAGATAACATGTAAAATGCTAACAACTAAGTGAAAAATCTTGGTACATTTAAGTAATCAATTTTCAGTATAGACTTTTAAAAACTCTGAGAGGCTTCCTGACTGAGCAGTTTTACTGCTGTCTAGTTTCCCTAATAGTTTAAACCTGTCTGGCACTTGTCTTGAGTGACAAAGGAAAGAGACCAGAGATTCTCTAAGGTGCTTCTATGTGCTGATATACCTTTATGCCTACTGATAGCATCTAACCCTGCAGAGAAAACTTCAGTGTCTCTCAGGTTGGATTCAAAACTCAGTGAGACTCACTGCTAAGTATTGCCCAACATCACATACTGAGCTTGAGTTTCTCAGTTCCTCATATGTATTAAATTGTAAAGCACATGCTAATGAGTTGATTGAGGGATGGCAGGATGAGGAGTGGACTAGAGAACAAGACCTCCAGGGTAGAAGAGGAGCCTACGGCTGACTAGGAATGACCAGGGGTTTAACCAATCAGACCTATGTAATAAAGCGTCTATAAAAATCCCTAAATAGTTTGAGATTAGGGGAACAACTGGGGGCCTCCAGAAAGAAAAACACATTCAGTTGCCCAAAGGTTGTGCATCCAACTCCACAGGGCAGAAGCTTCCGCCCTGTGGACTCTGTTTTAAAGGTCTGTGTGTGGTGTACCTGATTTTGTAAGTACTGATAAGAATAACAGTCACTTGACAAAAGCCAGACCTAACTAAACAGCAAAGTCACTAGTATCATCGTTGAAAAGAAAAAGCCCTGCCCCTCTTGTACTTGCAGACAAGAAATTTACAGCTCAAATAAACTCACAATCCCCTCTTAAAATTACAAAGGGGGAGGGGGGTCAAAACACAAATGATGGTGGAAAATTATTTAAAAGGAAAGAGTGAGCCCAAGTTCTTGCTCTCATGAATGCTGCAGGAACTTAAAAAGGCTATTCATCACTAAGGAACATAACATTTCTATTAACCCCTCCCTGGACAGGACACCAGAATAAAAGGGCAAAAAACCAAGGGATACTTGTCTATGCTTCCTGGACTACAAAGCTTACACTTTTTTTTTCCTTCTTGTTCCCACTTTCATAGAGGCCAAGCACACTCCTTTTAAACGCCATCGCATTTTTGGCTCGTCATTTCTGGATCACCAGTTTTCAGGACAATGATTCAGAAAGACAGTTTTTCATCTCTTCCCCCTTATGAAGACAGATATGACTTCTTCCACTCAGGTCACTTTTATCACCCAGCCTTACCATACTTCTAATCAATTATAATATAGCATATGTCATGGTTTATGTCAGTGGCCCCCCAGGCCTCATGCGTTTGCATTGTGCATTTGTGATTGGTTCATCGTCTAGTGCTTGGATTGATAGTGTCAGTGCTAAGCCACCTAACGTGGGAGCCAGCGGCAGGAAGGTATGTGTCTCTCTCTTGTCGGTTTCCACCTTGCTGTTTGCAGCTGCCATGAACTGTGGCCCCACCAAGGACTGCAACCCCACTGTGGTACCCTGCCTTGGAGCCAACTGAGTATGGACTAAAACCTCCAAAAGCTGTAAGAAATAAACCTTTCCTTTCCCAACTTTGGGCATCAGGTATTTTGTCTCAGCAACGAGTAAAAAGTAACTAAGACAGAGTCTGGTACCAAGAGTGGGATCGTTGCTGTGACTATACCTGACCATGTTTTTCCAGAGGCTTTGGAAATGGCTTGTGGGGAGAAATTAGAAAGGTTCGGACATGTTGCCTGGATGCATTGAGCTGGAGCAGCTTAGGCTGTTCTATAGAGGAGATTTGGTCAGAGCTCATGAGACTAAAAGGCTGATAGAAAGCCTGATGGTAAAGACCAGGCTTGGGAGATTTCTGTTGGAAAGAAGGACTGCATTGGTTGTTGGACTCCCCATGATGTGTGTTATGGCTTGGCAGAAAGTTTGTCTGCATTTTGCTCATGCCCAGAGACTGAGACAAAAGGCAATGGACTGATTAATCTGGCAAAAAAAATTTCAAGACAGTCAAATGTTGAGGCTGTGGTATGGCTATTGTTGGGTGCTTTTAGCCAGCTTTATGTTACAAATCAAGAACAAAGAGTCCAGCAGGATAATTTACAATGCTATGTGTTTGGCCAGAAGGAAAACTCCAGTAAAGCTCTGGATTATAAAGATAGAGCTGAGACTTTGATTGCTGAAAAAAAACAGAACTATAAAAAGATGGCCACGGGGCATTTCAGGAAGCTGTGGGTCTCCATCCTTTGCAGCCTCAAAACTGCAAAAGTGAAAGAATTTGCTCATAGGAGAAAGTTGCAGAGCACCACGCTCCAGAAT